AGCAGTTAAGTTCGTGACCCGAGGTACCACTGTAATTGCTTGAGCTTCACTTTGAAAAAAAATCTGGCTTTGGTGAATTTTAATCCATAAAAAAAAGAAAGCAACTACTTGCTCCATAAGTAATGCAGACTGCGATGCCCAGCACGTAGAAGCCCATGTTATACTTGCCTAGTTATTTTACATGAGGATCCTGTGAGGAAGAAACCACAGCAGTAGAGACATTCCAATATCACAAATGCAGTCAATAAACAGGGTTTCAAAGCCAAACTTGGCATTCAAACAGTGTCCTCAATGATTGATTTGTTCATCATTCCACTTTTGAGATTTGAGCAGGTTTGGCCTTGTTTTCTAAAAAATATTATTGCTGATATTTTTAGCAAAGAATATCAAGCAAATGATAAGCCGTAAGGAAGAGTGAGCAAATTTCATTGCTTTAAAAATATTGCCGAACCTCAACTCCGCAACTTAACGAATGGTCAAAGATGCTGCGAATTGTAATTTGGCAACATCAGGAGGACTGTGTATTATCCATCCCTTGAATAAGGCCTAGAAACGTTGATGACACCTTTGAGTTGTTCCTGACTCCTGATGACTGCATGGATAAAAGTTTTACCAGCTGTTTTGTCTCTTACCACATTATGCAACACTTGCAGGTGTATTTCTGTTGCTTACAATACTCCATATGTCCACCTCATGTGCTGTCACCCTTTTCTTCTTCTTCGGTCCACTCTGCCCAGCAATATCACCCTTTCCACAGGTGTCCTTATGATATGTTGAAGTATGATCATTTTTGTTTCATGATCCATGCTACCACTGAGCATTAGTATCAGTGAGCTCTAGTATCAAAGAGTTGGTTCTCTTGGCTATCTAAGGAATGCAAAGCAGCCTTCTCCAGTGCCATAGCTCAAAGGAGTCAATCTTCTTCCTCTCGCTCTTGCGCAGAGTCCATCCCTCACATCCGTACATCATCGCAGAGAATATTGAACAAACTGTTCTTTGGTCCTGATTGAAATTTATCTAGGCCCTTCAAGGCCTTTTTGCCCATTATTACTGTTTGAGTCTCTTTTGCACACTTACCATCTATATTGATTCTGGAGCCCAGAAAATTGTAGCTGTTAACTCTTACATTGTCTCATTATTTATCTTAAAATCCTCTAATTTTCCAGTAGATCTTTGTTGTCTTGATGTTGAAAGAAGTCACAGCTTCCTGTTTTACTTCTGGAGTGATTATTGTTAGGTTTTTTTCAGTTTCTGTAACCAAGGCAATATTGTCTATATATCTCAGGTAACTGACCTTATTGTCACTGATTTGGACTCCAACCTTAGTTCTTCCAGATCTGCAGCCCATACGATGCATTCGCTGTATAAACTGAACAGATTTGTTATAGAATGCAGCCCTGTCTGACTCCTTTCTGATGATAAACTGTTCAGTGTTACCAAATTCAGTTCTCACTGTAGCTTCCTGGATATTGTAGAGATTTCTTATTAGAAGAATCAGATGCTTAGGAATACCTATTGTTGTGAGAGACTTCCAAATCTTGAATGATCAACACTATCAGAAGTTTGGAATCATCTGTAAAACAAGTAGAGCTTTTCGTTATTCTCCTGCTCTTTCCATCATCTACCTGCTTGATTTACATGTCTCACGTCCCCCTGTTCCTTTAGAAGCTTACTTGTTCAACTGCCATTTCTCACTCCATATAGGGCTCTAACCTCTTCTGCAGGATTTTCAACAGTATTTTGCTGGTGTGCGGCATTAGGGCTATTGTCTCATAATTACAGCGTTCTTTTAAATCTCCTTTTTTCAGGGATTGAGCTATAGACGGACCTTTCCTATATTTGGGCCATGCTGCTTTCCCCCCATATTTGTTGTCAGAAGGTTCTCAGGGTTGCTGCTGTTTCACACTGGGTTCACACACTGGATGATTTGATCCATCCCTGTTTGTCAGTTGTTTTACAGCATTTTTGACTTCCTCCAAGCACCATGGGCTCTTTATATACATCTCTCCGGTACCTGGTCATCTGAGTCAATCTTCTTGTATAGTCTTAATTTCCTTCCATCTTTTTATCCACATTGTGTTCTATCATTTGCTCCTTTTCATGCTTATTCCTCATGACACTGCCATTAGCTTTGAATGTTCCTGTAATTTTCCGGCGTTTTCTTCAACTGATCCCTTGTTCTCTCCATTCTGTTATTTACCTTTATTTGTCTACATTCTCTGATCAGATATACCACTTTATCTCTTCTCACTTGTCATAGGGAAGTTGCATTAAGTTTCCTAATTTTTTCTAGATCTTGTCTGGCTTTTGCCAGTCTTCTTTCCTTAGCTATTTCTATGGCCTTGTTTGATAGCCAGTGTTTTCTTCATGCCCTCTGGCTCTTTTTTCCCAGCTTCCTCTTTTACAGTCATTTCAACTTATTCCCACAATTCCTTCAGCTCTCTATCCATTAGGTCCATGTCTTAGTATCTATTTCCAACCTCAATCCTATATTCTTCCGGAATATGTTCTAGGTTATATCTCATTGGAATTTTTTCAGTCTGATAATTTCTGTGATTAGAAACTGATGATCTGATCCACAGTTAGCAGCCAGCAATGTTTTGAATTTATCCTAGAAACATACTGCCTTTTTAAATGAATGAAAATAAGTGTGGCGGTAGGTAGATCTGATGCTGGAATGGTGAGGGGAGGAACCAATCATTAAGGGAAGAGTTTCAGAGACGAATACTCCTGGGAAAGAAGAAAGAAACTCTAAACAACCCACCTTGATTTTGCTAGGTATAAGTAATAATAGAGAGGAATTCTGGCAGGCTTTTCAAGATTCTGTTATAAAAACCTAACAACGATAAAGAGCATTCCTGAAATCCCAGCTGTTCCTGTTTCTTGACCTGGCCTACCTCAAGGGGCTGGCAATAAGATTTGGAATTGTTCTTAATGATAAACAAGATAGAATAGTAACAAATATATACATATTCTAAAACTTAATTTCTATGCCTGAAAACCATGATTGTCTATTTTTCATGTAAAGAATCTAAAAAGATTTGTTTAAATTACAATAATTTAATAGTAGTACTAGTATTTCTTTAAAGAAGGCTAAGATTTCATTCATTTTCTGATTTCCATGCACCTCTGCCAAGAGAAGCTATCAGTGGTGAATGAAAATAGTTCTGGAGGCAACTTTGCCTCTTTTTTCTTCTTATTCTAGCTTTTCATGTTTTAGTGTCTTAATTCATGTGCAGTACTATGTGGATGTATTTTATTTACTCAGATTGTAGGACTGACCGCTTCTCCTGGCATTGGCACTGCCAAAAAGCTAGATGAGGCCATAGAACATATCTGCAAGTTTTGTGCTTCACTCGATATTGGAGTGATATCAACAGTCAGAAAGAACACAAAGGATCTAGAAGAAATTGTGCATAAACCTGAAAAAAGTGAGCCTGCATTCTAATTCTCTTTTGGATTAACCTTGAAATCACTTACTATGCAACTATGCTGGAATTTTATGCTGCCTCTCTCCAACCCCTTCCCCCTCCAAATTAAGAGGAGATATACTTGAATAGGAGTAGGCAGGCCTGGGGCTGCATTTTGTTCTCAGAGTGCCTAAATAGATGCTTCTGGGAAAACCACAAACAGCCACGTACCCTAATCTTGTTCCCCAGCAATTGATACTAAGAGGTGTTTTTTTTTTTTTGGTAATGAAGGAAATATATTGACAGCAGACAACTGTATTTGACTCACATTTCTCTCTGCTGCAAATAGGTGTGGGGGATGGCCTTGGAATAATCTGGTGTCGATGTACCAGTGCTTCAGATTGGATTGCTTTCTAGACACACTCATTTATAGTGCTGTTCAGATTTGATACTGGGGATAAACTTCCATAGAAGCCAGCTCTTAGTGAGATGAACCCACAATCTGTTATCCCATTCTGGAGAACCAGAGTGGATGTACTTTATAACAGTTTAAGAGTCCTAATGGTCAGACTAAAGGACCAACTGTATAGTGTTCTGTTTGGCGTTATGACCAGATGCTTCCATGAAATATCCTTGGGGTAGAAGTTGGGACACAGCTGAACTCAGTAGAGAGCTATTTATCTAGCAAAGATCCAGGAAGACCTAAAGGTTTTCTCCACTTGTCGGCTGATCCTCTGAAGTTCATTCCTTATAACTGTACTAGTTCCTACTGCTGGCTAGAGACCTTCCCCTCAACAGATGTTTGCTCCTGAATAGACTCTTAGCAATGGAGTAATTTAGCCATGAAGTCACCTCTGAATTTTCTACAAGGAGAATTGAGATGGCATTCCTGACGACTCCTGTGGTGGAGCCTGCCAAAATGCAAGTTCCTTCAGGAGTTTCAAAGTGGGGCTTTCTAGAAGTGTGGAAAACATGTCAAATTTGAAACATTTTGAGTTGGAAACAATCCACTTTGAGTTCAAAATGCCTTATTTTGAGTTTAGAATGGATTATCCCAACTTTATCAGAAGTGTTCCAACCAGTCCTATTTTGAACTCAGAACCCTTCTAAAATGCTCAGGAGAGGGTGAGAATGCTTCTGGTGAAATTGGAACAGTTTGTTTGAACCTCAGAGAACTTTTTTGACTTGAAAGGGGGTATTTTCAGCTCAAACCATTTTGAGGGCCATCCAATTGTCAGCAATTCTGAGCAGTTAAAATCCCTAATGAAAGAGAATCATATCAGGAGAAGAAAAACTCTTAAACATAATTGAACATGCACATATTTCAAACTCAAAATACTTTGTACAGTTCTGGGCTTTCCTCTAATGGGGATTCTTTGATGGACCTGGATCTGATGGACCCTGATGACTTTTCCAGGAATCCCACAAACGACAGCCCTGTATTCTTCTCTTAGCAAGGTAGGCAGTACTAGGTGTCAACGGCCTGCCTTGTGGTAGAGATTAGACAGTTCCTCAACAATAGCAGCCTTATATGCCAAGCTACTTTGACTCCTCCCTTTACTGTTCTTGTAACCAATATATAGATATGAGCTGTGCAATACTTTGGCCTTGATTTGGAAGAGGTAAATGCGTGGAAGTATGAATATGTACTTATCTGCAACTAATGAAGGATGGTTAGGTTATTATTTAGGATCATGTGGGGGTAGCTGGAAATGAGTGAAGCTGCTTTGATGAGCCACCAATAAATGCTCTCTGATCCCAACCTGAAGCACTGTATAACCCTAATATTTCAAGCTGTCTCTCCAAGTAATATTCCATGCATCTGATAAAGTGGACTCTAGCCTATGAAAGCTTAAACAAGAATAAGATTATTTAAGTGAAAATGAATTAAATTCATTTTTAATCAGTTTGTTCAGCAGACTTAGACTAGCTACTCCTTTAGACCATTCACCTTTTGAAAAACGTACACTGTGAGCTCCCTACTCACTGGATCTCATGTAGTGTCGGGTGTTAGCAGCTGCAATATACTTGATGGCTGGTACTGCTGGGCCTATAGCCCTATCTCTGAAGGGCAAAAATTGAAAAAAGCTAGCATAAGAAAATAGTTCCCCACGTTCTAAAAAACTTCACCTTTTCTTGGGCAAAGGACCTGTGATAGATTTAGAATAGTTAAATGTCCAGATAACAACACACCCATAATGTCAGTTTCTTTTTCTTACTGCAGTTATTAGGCTTGTTGGGAATCGTCCACAAAGTCACTTCGTGGATATTGTGTCTCAGATGATGTCGAAAGTGGAGGATCTGGCAAGACAGTTTTATCCTATTGGTAAGATGATGGCGATTGTTTGATGACGTCAGTCATATGCTCCACTGATGTGACATAGTTTTGTGAAATCACCACTGTTCTTCCTATGTCCTGAACAAAAACAGTCTCTCTCTGAGAGCTTCATTTTTAAAATAAGATATGATATATATGTGTACATATGGATACACATACATACATACATAAACACGTATTTTAAATTTAATCATTACCTAGTACACAATCACACCATTCATCACAAAAATTATAATGCAGTTTACAATATACATCCATAATAAAATAAATAAATAAAAAATAACACATTCCACAATGCATAATACAGCTGAATTTTCATTGCAAAATAGTATAAATTGCACATTAAAGTACACTATGCTGTATAATTTACATTACAGCTTAGTATGTTACAACATAGTACATATAACACACTACTAAGCAAATCAAAACTATCTACCTACCTACCACAAGCCATAATATCATATATTACACCATAATACTAAATAGATTTTCTGTCTGTCTGTCTATAAATCATATCTATCTATCTATCTATCTATCTATCTATCTATCTATCTATCTATCTATCTATCTATCTATCTATCTATCTATCATCTCTATCTATCTCTATCTATCTCTATCTATCATTGAGCGTGTCTGACCATGATTCTGGGTGGCACACAAAAAGAAAAGAAAATTCATTAACCAACAACTACAAAAAGCAATACATAATATTAAAACCTGCCGAAACAAAGCCGGAGCTCCTCGCTTTGGGAGCTGTACTTGTCCTGACCCAAAGGCCCGGGGAAAGAGCTAGGTCTGACCCAAAAACCTGCATGGTCGGGGCCATCCTAATAATCACACTGGACATGGCCAGACGCTGGCTAGAGACCTACAATGGAAATCACAGAAGAAAGTGCAGTGGACAAGCGTAAGGGTTCAAGATGGTAATATTTAGTGATGCAGAGTGCGACTCACAAGGAAAAAGTTGTGGACAGTTGCCAATGCCCAACGATGGACAGTAGAGAATTGCTTCTGTAACAGGCAGTGGTTGTATCTCTGGTGCTGTTGGCTGGACCAGATGGAGTGAGCTATTGAAGAAAAGCAGCATGTAACCCAATAAAAGAACACAACTTGAATCTGCTATCTACCAGGCAATCTATTGCTTCTTAAAGTGGGTTTTTGTTTTTTTTTGGGGGGGGGTTTTGCTGTGGGATCTCATGAGATCAGATGCCCTGCCTGAATGTTGTGCCATGTTTTCTTTGGTAGGCAGACAATACAAAGTTGTTTGCGCACGTGTTGCTATTCTTCACACGTGAGGTTGTTGCAAGTCAATGCAAAAACTATTAGTATAGCAATATTAATTATTGATTAAGTGCTATCAAGCCATTTTGGACTCCCAGCGACCCCATAGATACATTTTCTCCATGATATCAATATTGATTTCTTAAGATGTGGAGGGGTCACAATGCTCTTGTGCTCTTGTGTCCTGTTCCTTTTTTGATCAGGAATCTTTGCCTTTTAAAATGGGTGCAATTAAAAACCATAAGCCTTTCTTTCAGCCAGCAACCATCTGTAAATAGCCAAAAAAAAAAAAAAGTTTTGCTGGGGTTATGTAGGCAAACTACTCTCACCTCCAAATTTTAGATCTAATGGCTAAGTAAGTAAGGTACAAGAGGCTAGCAAAAAATTAGACAATCGTTAAAAAAAAGTTTTTTAATTACAAGGCCTAGAAGCCACTCCCATCAAAACCAACTCAGCTTTTTTATTCAACATTAGAAAAACGTCATAGGAATTTGAAAGTTTGGGCCCTCTTGGTTTACTTACCTTTGAGGCTAGGTGAGAAACTAATTTGAAGGATGGTAAAGAGTTTGTTTAAAGAGCTGGAAATAGATGCTTGTTAAAATTAGGGTGGGAGAGGGGTTACTACCATTCCAGCTTAAACTGATTTATTTTTCAGTAAGTTAAGAGCAGAGCTGCAGTCCAATTGTTTTGCATGGAGATTTGTTTTTTTAATTTATTTAGATTTTTGATACTGCCTGACTCCAACCAATTCTGGGCAGCTTACAAAGTGAAACAACAACAACAAAACACATAAATAAAAATACAATAAAGAAGAATATTCCAAAAAATTGCCAGTTACAAGGTGACAGTCCAATATCAGCCAATCAATGGCAAGCTTTTATCAAAGATTATTAATATTGTTTTTTAAATAAACCCTGTGGTCAATTTTTGTGGAATTTGCTTGGCTGGTACTTCTTGTCGTGGACTGCTACCCCACTTCCTCTTGTTCCCAAGGTGAAGAGCCAAGATCTGAAGGTCTTCTTTCAAATTCCTATTGTTTTTAATAGCTAAAGCATGGAATACTTGGTTGTTTCTAGTTTTGTTACTAAATATAACAAATTTGACATATCTTGATAGGATGTTTGAAGTTCAGCTTTTTTGTTCTGAGTTCAGAAACAAAAAGCAACATTTCCACTTTGTGATCATCCTAACTGTAAGTCCAGTGGATATGGCCAGAAAATAATCTAGGCACAATGCAACATAGAACTCAAAATGTATAATGAAGAAGGTAAAATATAAGATGAGATCCAAAAGAAGAAAAAGTCGATAATTTTAGGGCAATGTTTACTAAATAATGTTCATTGCAGGATAGAAGACTAGAAACACTAAAATACTAGATGGTAGGGAATACAAGTGGTCCTTGCTCAACAACCACTTGTTCAGCAACTGTTTGAACTTATGATGGCACTGAATGAGGGATATTTATAACTGGTCCTCATACTTATGACAATTGTAGCATCCCCATGGTCATGTGATCGCGATCCAGGCACTTGGCGACTGGCTCGTGATGACATTGCAGTGTCTCATGATCTCCATTTGCAACATTTGCCGGCTTCCTACAAGCAAAGTCAATGGGAAAGTTGGCAGGAGGTTGCAGATGGCAACCATGCGATGTCACACTTAACAATGGCATGGAATTTACTTAATGCCAGCTTTACGACCATGTCTTTAAGTGAGGACTACCTGTAGACAATATCTAAAATAGCTCAAAATAGATATTGCGCAATGAAAGACACAATAGGGAGTACAACGGTGCACGGCAACAGAAGAGAATGGACAATATAGTAGTTAATTGTAACACAGACAGTGACACACTGTTGACAATGCACTATTTTATTTATTTATTTATATGATTTATATGGCCACCCCTCTCACACAGGTATGGGAGGCATACAAGAATTCAAAACACCAAAACACACAACATACAACTCCTGGTGCCCAAGGATGAACAATCTCATTCACAAAAAAGCCACATTGATAACAGCAGAGCTTACCTAACCCCACCCAGGTCTTTGGTGCTTTCTGAAAAACCAGCACGGTTAGGGCCATCTGGATCTCCCGGGGGTGGATGCTGTTCTCCAGTAAACAGCAGACAAGACTTTCTCAGACCTGTGCAACAGACAACACAAGATGGTAGACATCACACAAGGGAATGCAACACAGTGGAGTAGAAATAAGTGACTCAAAATGGAAGGTAGTATATGGTAGGCAAAGCAAAATGCAAAACAATTCACAGTATCAGATAATAGTACAGAGCAATATATATTAATGAACCACTGAATACTATATAACCTCATGAAAGAACACAGCGTAATACATTATAAAACATAAACCTCAGAATGATACTATGGTAGAAGACTCCATACCACACAATGCCCTAAATGCAATGTCATGTATACAGCATTTAATTATTTCTATAGCAAATGTGTCTGGGTGGCAAACAAGGATAAAAGGACCATCATAAAATAAATTTAAGGAAAGAAAAGACAAAATCAAGGCTCCAGTAAGAAATCTCATAAACAACACATGACCACACCAGAGCTCCATTAACATCCAGGTCTGCACCACCTTCACAAAGGCCAGTAAGGAATACGATATGCTATAGACCATATGTTCTAGCCTAGTACAGTACAGTACAACATATAGTACTTTGATACACTATGAATTAGAAGGTAAATAAAAGCGATCTCCCTGCTTTTCATTCTAGGCCTTCAATACATTTTTTTTTAATCTTTCTTCCTCTGTTAGATACCTTGTCTAAGTTGAAGAGTCATTGTTATGGGACCCAGAGCTACGAGCAGTGGATAGTTAATGTGCAGAAGAACAGTGTGGTGTTACAGTTGCCGAATAAGGAAGAAGAAAGCCGAATCTGCAAGGCTCTTTTTATTTGCACGGAACACCTCCGGGTGGGTAACTTCCCTCCTTGAAAACCAGTCATTTTCCCTTGCTGTGTTGCTCCATTGCCCTTGAGCTATGTTTCTCCTGTCCTGTTCCCTAATGGTTGACATTACTGTAGTCAACAGTGTAGTGGTGCACCTTGGTTGGTTAATAAGTGTCAGACGATTGGGTCAAGAGCTAGTACATGTAACACAACCTGTTCAGGATGACTGCATTGCATTCTGAGATGCTTTGCTTACTGTCAGGTCATTTTTTCAGTGGCACCTCAAAACACTTAAAACAAAAAAGCCACCTCTTCCAAAAATGGGCAACTCCAGTCTAGTGGGTTGGAAGGATCTCACATTTGAAATGCTGCATTTCAAGTTCAAATCAACGGCTCCATGTTCGAAAGAGGCTGCTTTGGCCTTTCAGAATGTGTCTCAAATGTGAAAGTGAATGTTTTGAACTTGACATTTCCAGATTTATTGAAGCAACTTATTTCAAACTCAAAATGGGGCAGTTTAAATTCAGAACAATGCAAGTTTGAAATACGTTGCACATCACTACAGGTGGTTCTCAGGTTACAGCAGTTGGGACTGGGAACTCTGTCACTAAGTGACAAGATCGTCAAGTGTGACATCACATGACCAGCAATGGCAATTCCAGGAGTCCCTGCTGCTGTTGTTAAACAAGGACCTCATGTGATTGCAACTTCCAACTTCCTGCCAGCTTTTCCGTTGACTTTGCTTGTAGGAAGCCAGCAGGGAACATCAGAAATTGTGATGACATGACTGCGGCTTACTGCAATATCATAATCATGAGCCAGGCACCATGTGCCCAGACTGCAATCATGTGACCATGGATACATTGCGACAGCTGGAACTCCAAGGAGCTGTCTTAAGTCCCCGTTTAGCACCATCATAACTTTGAATGGTCGCTGAACGAATGGTCGTAATCCAAGGACTACCCGTAAGCTCACATTTATTCAAAGCAGTCTTGGCTTAATTTCAAAAGCCCTCTTCAGTCCTCAGATTAAAGCCAATCTTGCATTCAACAGCAGCCTTGCTATTCAGGAGGAAAAAAGAAGAGAGAGAAACATGGCAAAAAGAGGGGAAAATGAATTGCAGATAGGAGATGAAAGGTCTGGTCTCTCACTCATCTATCATATACCTATCCCCTTGGTTGATTGTCTTATGGGAAGACCATCCTTAGGAGAAAAACAAAAATGCCTATTCTTGACCTACAGAAATCTTTTTAGGTGCATCCACCAAATGAAAGGATTTGTTGTAAGAATATTATTCCCAGGCCAGAATAAGGGCTTTCACCCCGCTTTCCCTCATGACCATTGTTTGCTGCCATGTTTTCAGAATGATGAAAGTGTGATATAAAAATAATGTAAATAATCTTGTTATCACAGAAATACAATGATGCCTTGATAATCAATGAAGATGCCCGAACCAAAGATGCTCTGGTTTATCTGAAGGATTTTTTTGAGGATACGAAAAATGGCAAATTTGATTATATTGAACGTCAGCTGGCTTCAAATTTTGAAGGTACTTCATAAAAAATGTGCCTGCACATCCATGTTGCTTTGATGAGCAAAGCGTCTATCAATTCCAACAGAGAAATTTGACTTTCAAAATACATTAGAAGCAATTCACCACAATAAACAGCACAATCATCTTGTATTCCAGTAACACTACAATTGACAAACAATACGAAGTAAACAAAAGAGCAAACCAGAGGTTTGAATCCTGTAGCATCATCGTTGATGGAGATCTGTAAAGTTTATTTTTGCTTGGAGGTTTATGTAGGAAGGGTGTAAACTCATTTAAATGCAAGGCATTATTATTGGCAGATGTCAACCAAATGCAATTGTATATATTGAGAATAAGGGGCTGGTTTTGAACAAAACAGGAAGTTGTTGCATGGGCTGTCTAATTTCATCATTTTCAGGTGCAAATTCCTAAGGCTGATTGCTGCTATATTACCAATTATTTCCTTGTATCATAGAAAATGAGCATGTTAGAGGAAAGGCTACTGTAGCTTTGCAGTAATAACTTACGATTTTTAAAAATCATATTATTAAGCAAGTATTAAGTGATCTCCCCTACTTGGACACTAATCCATACTCATCTCACTGAGAATTAGGCTAAAACATGGAACAGACCAATGCTAAGGAAGGAAAAAAGAGAGAAAAAAGAAAAAGCAACTGAATAAAGGAGATACCTTTAACAAGAGAACTGACAAAACTTTCTCATAAGCCAGTTCTGAGAATTAAAAAAAAAAAACCTGATGGATACTGGATGAAAGGTGAAATGCAAAATTATTGTAGGTGATTTTTGAAGCTTTTAGAGATGCAACTAACTACCTGTATGAACAAGTAGAATAAAATGTAATTATGTATTTGTATGATGTTAGGGTATGGCTTTGTAGGGAAGGTGTTTCTTCCATACACCCATCCTTAGATATTTGCATTTTCTCTCCCAGTTAAATTGCCAGAGCTCACTGCTGCTTCCCAGGATGAATCCAATGAAAACCCTAAATTGGAGGATCTTGCAGAGATCTTGGGAGAGGCATATCATTTCAACCCTGAGACACGCACTATTCTCTTTGTGAAGACAAGAGCACTGCTAGCAGTAAGAAACTTCTCAAATATAGAGGAAGTGGGATTTTCGTTTTCTGTTTTCTGTTATGTGTGGGGTAACATTTAAGGATCAGCTTGCCTATGTTTTGACATGGATGGGCAATTTCCTCTGGATGGGACCACGTTATATTCTCCTTACTAGCTGGTGAGCTACTGAAGGCCTTCTGCTGACCTGGTGACATAAGGACAGGTAGGGTCAATTCCTTGGCATCCCCTTCCTCTTTTTTTTTTGCTGTTATGGTGTTGATGATGAAAAAGAAATTATAGGTAGTCCTCAGGTACGACAGCATTTGGGACCAGAACTTCCATTGCTAAGTGATGCAGTCGTAAACATGATGTCATGTGACCATGTTTCCTAGCAACAGCAAATTCCAGCACTCCTGGTTGCTGTTGTTAAGTGAGGACCTCACGTGACCACGATTTCCGACTTCCTGCTGGCTTTCCCATTGACTTTGCTTGTGGAAAGCCGGCGGAGAACATTGGAGATGCCGTGATGGACAGAACTACAAGGACCTGTTGCAAGTACCATTCATTCAGTGCTGTCATAACTTTGAACAGTCACTGAATGAATGGTCGTAACCAAGGAGTAGCTGTATAATAATAACATCAACAACAACAGTTATTTAGTATATTGAGTTTAATCATCTATTCAGTAATCCAGCTAAAAATATACCAGACCCAAGCAAATGGGTTTTTCCTCCATTTGAGACAACCAGTGAAGAAGGAGACCCCTATTTTTGTGGGGAGTTGGCTTCTGATATGCCTTTAATGTTAGGAGGATGTTTCTAATATTCAACTGGACTCTGATTTCCTATAACTTAAATCCATGATTCAGAGTCCTGCACTCTGGAACAAAAGGAAATGGGTCTTAGCCTTCTGTGTGACATCCATTCAGGTATTTGAAGAGTGCTATAATTTCTCTCCTCCGTCATCCTTTTTTATGACTAACCATGTCTGGCTCCTTCATCTCTCTTCACAGGTCTTAATTTTGAATACTCTGATCATCTTCTCTGCTCTTCCTCTGCTGTTCTCTGAAACTGTTACAATATCTCTGAATTCTTCAAGTGTGGTGCCCAGAACTGGACATAGCACATAGAGTAGCTCTCCCCAATGCAGAATAAGATGAAACAATTACTCCCTGAGATTTGAAAATGGCACTTCTGCTAATGTAGCCTAAAATTGCATTTGCCTTGTGGGCAGCCACATCACCCTAAGGCACATACTGAGTATGCAATCAACTATTCCAAGATCTTTTTCACAAGTACTAAGTCAGGCATTTCTGTCCTGGCCTGTATTGTTGATTCTGTTTCTTAAGTGAAGGACTTTCCACTTTTCTCTGTTAAATTTCATTGTGTTATTTTCAACACATTTCTTTCAGGATATTGTCTCTCCTACCCATTGTGCATCATCTGCAAAGTTAGTAAGCATTTTGTCCCAATCTTCATCCAGATCACTGAAGAAACAATTGAAGAGTAGCGCCCCCAGGGCCGATCCTTTTGACACTCAACTTAGTATGCCATTCGTGAGCATTCTTTGAGCCACAGATGCTTGTCACTGGGTACTTTCATAAACATTTTGCTAAAGTCAAAATATATTATGTTTGGATTCAGGTCATTAATATAAATCAATTGTGGAAGTTACTTTGATCCCATAAATGAATTAAGATGAGCCTGACAAAATTTCGTTTTACCAAAACCATACTGACTTCTGGTAATTACTGCTTTTTTTCACTGTGCTTAATAATTAGTCTTCTTAAGATCTGCTCTTCAGTCTTCCCAGGTATCAGTATCGGACAGATTAACCTGTAGTTTGTTAGATTTTACTCTTCCTTCTTTTTGACATTTGGTCTTATCTGGCACTTCAGTTCTCCACGATTTCTCTGAGATCATTCATAAGGATTCAACTAGACAGTCAGCTAATTCTTTCAGTACCCTTGAATGAAATTCATCTGATCCTGGAAATTTACACTCATTCAAATTAAAGAGACATTCCCTGACCCCGTTTCCATCAATCTTAAGCTTCAGTTCTATTCCTTTATCTTTCTGGTCACAATTTCTTGTTGGAGAAGACTGAATCAAAATGGGAGTTGAGCACCTCTGCCTTCTTTTGTTACCTTATTAGCATTTTGATTTCTTCATTGAATTGCTGGATTACTGATTCTTTTATTTTGAATTGAATGATGCCTTTTATGTTATTCTTAGCATCCTTAACCAATCTCAGCTCATTCTGAGATTTTGCTTTCCTCACATCAGCTGTAGCATTCCAAGCTCTCTGTCTTGCTCTTTCTTACAGAGCCAGCCCTCTGAAAACAAGAAAGGATACATTAGGAAATGGAAAATATCCTGTGTATATCTGTTTTTGTTTTCAAATCTTTATTACATAATGTGGTCACATTTGCTTCTTTCGCTAACCTCCGTTTTTCTCTATTTTGGAATAGTTTACATTTGTGCTTTTAACATTTCTTTCCTTAGGAATTTCCTCCCATCTTTTCCTATTAGCTTCTCTTGTTATGGTAGTCTACTTAATGCTTTGAATATTAAAATATGCTTTTTTAAAGTCCCAAGATACGTGTTGACTACGCTCAGCTTTCATTTCCCTTAAATCAAGAACACCAGAACATACACTTCCTCAATTAAGCCTTCCTTGTTGATGTTGTTGTTGTTAGATATTGTACTGTATGCTGTTTTTTTATTGTGTTTGGTCTTGGACCATAAATAAATTTTGAACTTTAATATTATTTTTATTATTAGTAAGCCATCTTAGTATCTTAAGATGAAGGGAGGTAGAAAAATAAATATTCATTGCATCCCGGTCATAAGGTTGACACTGCTTTCAAAACTAACTGAGAATATGTTCAAAATGAAATTCCAACATAGTTAAGGTCCTAAAATAAAGTTGTTCTCCTTTGGTTTGATCAAATGGAACCAATGCTGCTGGTTAAAGTGCCTGCATCTCTTCAGTAGAAAGCACAGCTGTGGTCAACTGGCGAACACAGTGTTTCGTGGTGCACTGAAAATTTTTAGTTATATTTACAACCTCACCAATGGTGGTATCTGTCCGGAGACAAAGCTCTTCAAAACCCTATTTGCATAGTCCTAGACCAGTTTGTTCTCTTGATAGGTTTACTCACTTTCATTTTCTAATTCAGTACAGTAATGATTTGCTGTTGGATAGACTAGTGTGTAAACACAGTAATACAGATGATAGTAAAGAGCTGCCCCAAGGACAAGGGACATTTTTCTGACCAGATATTTTGGCCAAACCTCTGTTGAATTCCCAATCTAAGGCACAGTTAGACTGAAAGACTCTTCAGGTCAAGCCTGAAACTATGTATGCCAGTTCCTAAAGATATTTCCCAAAGATCTGTGGCTATATACAAAGGGGCAGGGCTTCATTTGCACAATCATGCCAGCCATCTTGACTTTTTGCCCTCCCCCCTCCCATTTCCCTGCCAAAGGGCTGCACATCTTTTGAAAATGACCAGGATGAAGCTTAGATCCCTATTATCACAAACTCTGAGTTTAAATGAATTTTATAGGCATTGAAGAATTGGGTAGAAGAAACACCTGAACTTAAGCACCTGAAACCAGAGACATTGATGGGACGTGGGAAAAGAAACCAGCATACAGGTAGGGGACCTTGTATTGGATGGACTATGTAGGTTGGGAAGGGTAGTGTGGTGAAAATCATGATAGCTAATGTGAAATTATATTCCAATATGAAACAAAAGTTTTCTACACAGAAACCAAACCTAACTTCTGCATATCTTCTGTCCAACCATTTCAAGTGAGTCAGTTTTTTAGAAATAGCAAAACCAAAGCTTTTGAGATCAAGAATCCAATGTATTCTTGGTATTCAGTTTCAGTGTTGAACAAAATTTGAATTTCAGAGAAACCATTAAAACAATTCTGTACTATTTATTCCATTACATCTCTCAAAATATATAAGATAAAAGATGCCCTCAACTGGACCCCTGGTTGCTACTTCTTGACAGCAGTATAGATAAAGAAGCATTAATCTAACATTGGGTTCATTGTGTGCAATGTCGTAGGCCAAGGGTATACTGTATATGCTCTGGTTCTGCCTTTGCTCAGGGCTGCCCAACAAGCAGCCAATGCTTTGCTATGCGTCCAGTGTACACTGTTCTATTGTTTGCATGCTAATAAAATTGTGTTGTATCTTCAAAGTGATTTGGTTGCCTTAGGGGAGCCAGGTTTTGGCCACAGTTGATTTGTTCCTTGATATTGATAATTTCTTTAAATATAGAAATTCAGAATGGGGCTATGCAAGGAGAATTCCATTATATGATGTGTTTCTTAACACTTAGATCAACCTAAAATGAAAAATTCTTTAAACATTAAGTTGGTCGAAGTTAAGTAGCAGCACTGTAGTCTTAGCAAGAAGTTGCTATGATTTTAAAAAAAAACAACCCTTATTAAATTAACAAAATTTGGCCTCCTTTGACATGGTCCACTTTATGGTATCCTACTGACTTCTGATAGAAATGTTTTAGCTGATAAACACAGTGCCATTGATAAAGGAATTCTCTGAAACTAGTTGAGCTTCTATGTGATAAAATGTGGTGTTATTTCAGGGGATCATAAAAAGAATATTAATTGTATAAAAATCAAGTGTCATCTTAGGCTACATCATATAGTATAGTATATCATGTTGTGTAACAAAATTAGAGTATCAAGGTCAGAAGAAATCATTTTACTTCATTTCTTCACACCTAGAATATTCCATCCATTTCTGGGTATGACATTTTTCAAATGAGACTGACAAACTGGAAGGTTTCCAGGGGAGAGTAACCAAAATGATAGGGGGCTTGGAAGGAACACTTACAAGGAATGGTTGGAGTTAGAGCAGTGTTTCTCAAACTTGGCAACTTGAAGATGTGTGGACTTCAACTCCCAGAATTGGGAGTTGAAGGCCATACATCTTCAAGTTGCCAAGGCTGAGAAACACTGAGTTAAGAGGGTATGTTTAGCTGGAGAACAGAAGATTGATTAGAAACACAAGAGGTAGATACCCTTCAGGTATCTGAAAGGTTGTCATGTAGGAGATGGTACAGAATTTTTCAGTGATTCCAGAAGACAACAAACAATGGATTTAAACTACAAGGAAGTAGATTTTGATTGGATAATAATTTTTCTAATAGTAATAGCTTTTTTATTAATGGGACAGACTGACTCAGGAGGTGGTAGACTCTCCTTCGTTGAAGGGGTTTAAAAAGAAGCTCGATGTCTCTCTGTCAAGGATGCTGTAGTACTGTAGTGAGTTGGATTAGATGACCCTCAAGGTCCCTTCCATAGCTGGAATATTTTCCGGTGGTTTTGGTACTTGCGTTATTTTTAAGTTCTTTACTCAAGGTCCATTAATTTGCCAAAAAGGTTTTGTCCAGAGCCCATTGGACTGACCTGGAGAAGAAGAAAACCATAATGCAAAATATCCATCTAGTGCTATGCGCCTTATTTTGATTGAAGATTTCAGTTTTGAGAATGCAAATCAAGCTTAATATGCTTGAATACCACTTTCCTTACCTGCCGAGCACAGCAAAGGTGATGGGCTTTTTAAATTAATCATAGCTCTCCCTGGGATCTAACCTCTAGGAATGTGATTTGGAATATTGTGATCACAAGGAACTAACCATACTCCCATCACCATACCAATCTGATAAGATTCTATCTATCTATCTATCTATCTATCTATCTATCTATCTATCTATCTATCTATC